TTTTTTTCCCCTTTTTTTTTTTTTCCCCCCCCTTTTTTTTTTTTTCCCCCCCTTTTTTTATTTTTTTTTTTTTCCCCCTTTTAAAATTTTTTTTTTCCCCCCCCTTTTTTTTTTTTCTCCTTTTTTTTTTCCCCCCTTTCCCCTTTTTTTTTTCCCCCCTTTTTTTTTTTTCCCCTTTTATCCCCCCTTTTTTTTTTTTTTAAAAAAACCCAAATTTTTTATCTGTCTTCTATCCCCTTTTTTTTTCCATTAATTTATCTAATTTTTATTTATTTCCCCCTTTTTTTTTTTTTTTTCCCCCTTTTATTTCTATTTTTTTTCCCCCTTTTTTTTTTTTTTTTTTCCCCCTTTTTTTTTTTTTTTTTTTTTTTTTTCCCCCCCTTGTTTTTTTTTCCCTTTTCCCTTTTTTTTTTTTTTTTTCTTAATTATTTGTTAGTTCAGTTTTTCTTTTTCAATTATTTTTATTTCTTAGTTTTTCTTTTTTTTAAATTATTTTATTTTTAGTTTTGTCTTTCTTTTTTAAATTATTTTATTTCTTAGTTTTTGTCTTTCATTTTTAAATTATTTGTTAGTTCAGTTTTTCTTTTTTTAATTTATTTTTATTTCTTAGTTCTGTCTTTCTTTCTTAAATTATTTTTATTTCTTAGTTTTGTCCTTCTTTTTTAAATTATTTTTATTTCTTAGTTTTGTCTTTCTTTTTTAAATCATTTTTATTTCTTAGTTTTGTCTTTCTTTTTTAAATTATTTGTTAGTTCAGTTTTTCTTTTTTCAATTATTTTTATTTCTTAGTTCTGTCTTTCTTTTTAATTATTTTTATTTCTTAGTTTTGTCTTTCTTTTTTAAATTATTTTTATTTTTGGCTTATAGTTACTTTGAAATATTGGTCTAGTGCAGTGATTCCTGAATATTTTTTTTCTGGAAATGAAAATTTGTTTGGGCCACACCAAATTTTATGTTGTAAAAATATATGTACGAAGACAGAGGCTCAGGAGAAATGAAGTCCCGGTAAAAAAAATGAAGAAAAATGGCATAAGAAGCTCAACAGCAAAAAAAAATAAAAATAAAAAATAAAAAAAAATAAAAAAAATAAAAATAAATGTGCAAAGAGAGCGTTAAAGGGAGATAACCACAGATTCGAAATCCAAAAAAATTATCATTGATAACTCTCTCCTCCAATTTGCAGAGCCTAGTTAACTATATTCATAATACTTGATATAAAGCAAAAATATCACAATGATTAAATCGGTCAATAATTATCTATAACTATTTGTACTGGGAATCATGCAAGCAATTGCAAGTAATTCATAATAATATTTTAAATTTTGAAATCATATTTATTTTTGTCATAATATTTTAAAAATGTTTCTAAATCTTTGATTGTCTTTCGATCAATTCGCCACGTCTACCATCCTCTTCTGCCTCACCTGCTAACCTCTTCCTCTGCACCTATGATTTGCTTCGAACGATTTCGGAATCACTGAGTGAAATTTGAACTCAATACGTATATGAAATTGACAGGGAGATGACCTGCGATCTTTCTTGCATGTTAAAGGTCTAAAAAGGGTGATGATGGCTAGAGTTGGCACTTTTAATATATTTATCTCGAAATTTATTCTGAGAAAATTAGAAATGATACCAGGATACACAAGCTTAACAATATAAGGTACGGAGATCAAACAGTGTTGTTATTTTTACACAAGCTTTACACAAATAACAACTAATACGGCAGAAATTTATATGAACAAGGATCAATTCATTCATAACGGATCTGAGGTTTTTGTGTAATATTAGAATTGTTTGCGAGATGGATGTCTCGCCATTTAAAATCATTAACCTTTGCATTAGTTTGTGTGAATAATTCATGTATATATATATATATATATATATATATATATATATATATATATATATATATATATATATATATCATAATCATTACCTTGAATTTTGTAATCTTAGGGAAGATCTGAATGCAAAACATACATATATATATACGGCAGACTCTCTCATCGTGAACAATAAATGAGGGTCAGCATCGGATGGTGTTTTAATTTTACACTTTGTATGCTAACAGTCTATCTGTGGATGGCAACATATATAACAAACATATATATATATATATATATATATATATATATATATATATATATATATATATATGTGTGTGTGTGTGTGTGTGTTTGTGTGTGTGTGTGTGTGATCGGATGTTGTCTATAAGTTTCCACAGTTTTCATCCGATTTCGATGAATTCTTTTTTATAACGTTCGAAACCTTGTTAATATGACAATATCATTAGGATAGCAGTCCGAACAATATAAACAGTGTAAATAATTACAAGAACTCATTTCAGAAATATAGATATATCCTGAAGTAGGTCGGTGCGTATAACGGCCGAAACGTCGTGAATATGAAAATAAAGATGAGGACAGCAGTCCGAACAATGTGTATAGTGTAAATAGTTACAATACCTGACTTCAGAAATATAGACAGAGGAAGCCCG